TTCACGCCATTCTCCTGCCTCAGCCTCCGGAGTAGCTGGGACTACAGGCGCCCGCCACCTTGCCCGGCTAGTTTTTTGTATTTTTTTTTTAGTAGAGACGGGGTTTCACCATGTTAGCCAGGGTGGTCTCGATCTCCTGACCACGTGATCTGCCCGTCTCGGCCTCCCAAAGTGCTGGGATTACAGGCCTCAGCCACCGCGCCCGGCCGTTTTTTATATTTTTTTGAGACGGAGTCTCGCTCTGTCACCAGGCTGGAGTGCGGTGGTGCCATCTTGGCTCACTGCAACCTCTGCCTCCGAAGTACAAGTGATTCTCCTGCCTCAGCCTCCCGAGTAGCTGGGACTACAGGCGCATACCACCATGCCCGGCTAATTTTTGTATTTTTAGTAGAGACAGGGTTTCACCACGTTGGCTACGCTGGTCTCAAACTCCTGACCTCAAGTGATCCACCTGCCTCGGCCCCCCAAAGTGCTAGGATTATAGGTGTGAGCCACTGAGCCCAGCCCAATGTGGGGCTTTCTGAAGCCCCCTGGTGACTATAGGGAAAGGGGGGAATTATTTTCATCTCACTGTTCGGAATCACAGCAGAGGTTGGTGCTTTACTGTAGATTAACTCTTGCTGCGGGTGGGGGATTGCTCATTGCCATCTTGAGGATTCTTTTCACTGAAAAGCTGGTCATATGTACAACATACAGTCCTGGGGGCTCAGCTCTGTTAACATCCTGGTGGCTGCGCCTGCCTGCTGTCACCTTGGAGCTCCACAGACCAGCCTTGGGCTTCAGCTGGCTGGGCCCCAGGAAGCCCCCCAGACCCCACCAACTGAGTGACCTTAATGCTCCAATGGTGGCCGAGGGGTTGAAGATGATCTCAGCCCCGTTGATGCTGTACATAAGCCAGTTGAGGGGGTGGTGCCGCCCGTAGCAAATGTTCACCGCAATCCTTCCAAACTGCGTCTGGAACACAGGGTGGCCCAGGTTTCCCTCCATGTAGTAGGTTGACTGAAAAGCAAAGGGCCATACGCTGATGCCTCTGACCTTTAAGATTTCCCTTTTCTTAGACTCGGCAGAAAAACTGAAATATCACCAATGGTCCAGAGGTGATTACACTCCTGAGTGTGACTCTAAGTTCCAGAATTTCAATAGTATAAAAACAAAACACACACACAAAAAAAACCCCTGACACCAAATAAGCCAGCCCCGGGGGGAAATCACAGTGGCTTAAGCATTTGCCCAGTCTCCTTTCTGACATGTAAATAAATCCCCACAACGACGTTCCACACTATTTCAAACTCTGGTAAGGTTTCAATCACGGTCCAACTCAAGGCTCAGGTTTGGTCAGTGTTAACACGAGCTGGTCAATGCCCTCAGCAACCGTATGTCATCATATAGAACAGTGGAGCCCCGGGGACCTGAAGCACATCCAAACAACTCTCTGCCTGGTCAGAGGAGAAAGCTGTTTCCTGAGGGGGCATAGCTCACCCAAATGATTAAGGCCAAAGCTTCTAGTAGAACCACACCCTGAAAGCACACCTTCTCCATTCTGCCTAGGGTTAAGGAGGTCCCTGTGGGGCAGGTGGACCAGACCCCATCCTCCCATCCCTGCCTCTCTGTCTGTTCCTAAGGGTACCAGGGCAGGGACACTGTCCTGGACAGCACTGAGGGAAGCTAGAGGGCAAATCAGGGTCCCAAACAGATCTGCTCTGGGAGCCTTCCACCTCCTCCTGATCCTGGCCATCAAAATTGGCCAGGGTCAGGCAGCAACCAGGATGTGTGTACGTGGTGAACACTGGAGCAGATCCTGCTGTGCTGAGACAAGCCCTGTGCTATCTGCAGGGAGCTAAAGATTAATCCCAGGGCAAACAGGTGAGGGGCGCGTCTTTCCACCCCACCTCCAGCTGTTACTGAGAAACGCTGGGTTCTTCTTTCTCCCTGGGAAACCTCCTCTAGCTCTGCAGGCCATTTCTTGTCTGCCTGACCAGCCTGAGAATGGCCAGGATCGCCACAATCATGGAGTGAGAACTGGGGACATCACATCCTGAACAACTGTATAACGGCAAATCAAGTTCAGATTTAGTATCTTAGGCATTAGGCAGAGCTCTTTTCCCTCCTTCAAACGTCCACCTGCTCCCATCTTACCCACCCAGGGGTTGGCATTAACCAACAAAAATGGCTCCCCCAACTTGTGCCCTGATCATGGGCACATGAAACTTGACATAACGCACACTACACAGACGTGCATGTTTGCCCACTGTCACCTGACACACAAACATGGGCCACCTCAGACTCCTCCATGAGTCACAGACAAGGAATGCCACGCTCCAAACCAAACAAGGACAGGGTTGTGGCGTCCTAGGCTCTGAGCCTGAAGGGGGCCATGGGAATCATTTCATGTTTGTGCAATATTTATTTTTGGTTTTAATTTATATACCACTTACTTCAAAGAATTCAGGAGGCCAAATCAGGCTGTATTAAAAAAACATATACCCCATTGTGCTAAAGGTGTTTGGGACTCCTCTGAGAGTCCCACCTGAATCCGGTCTGCCTGTGTGATATAGAGCAATGTCAGGTAACCCTCTGAACACCGCAGCCACACACTGTGCTCCAGTGGAGTGTGCGTGACATGGAGTATGATTCTGCACAGAACTTCCCCACGGAAAGTCCCACAGAGATCTACAACACACAGAGAGGCAAGTGAGCAGGGCTGGTTATCCATCTTATGGGTGGCTCACCTCATTGAAATCACCCACTCTGGGGATGTGGTTTTTCCTGGTCTTTCCCAGGACTGCTCCGGAATTGGAGATCACCACGGCTGTATTCCACAAAACGTCCCCATGCTCGCTGTCTCGTTCCAGGATGGGAGACACCACCACCATGTCATGGTTCTTCGCCAGCTGGAAAAATGATAAATATAGCAGAGTCCCACTTCCAAACCAATTGTTGTAGTTTCTTATTGAAGAAGAATTTAATGATCCTACTAAATCATTAGGCTTGGGTCAGAGCAATCACTTGCATTTGTTGTTTGGAACACTAAATACCCTGATGTCCATGCTTTGCTAAATAAGAATCACATTGTCCTGTGCACAGTTGGTGGTATAGTAAAATGGTGCAGCTGCTCTGGAAAACCATATGGGAGTTCCTCAAAAAATTAAACAAGAATTACCATTTGATCTGGCAATCCTAATCCTGGGTATATATCCAAAAGGATTGAAAGCAGGGTCTCAAAGAGATTTGCAAACGCATATTCATTGCAGCATTATTCACAATAGCAAAGAGGTGGGAGCAACCCAAGTGCCCATCAATGGGTGAATGGATAAACGAAACGTGGCACATCCATACAATGGAGTATCATCAAGCCTTAGATGCCATGGTTCTATGTTACAAATGGATGAACCTTGATGATATTATGCTAAATGAAACAAGCCAGTCCCCAAAAGACAAATACTGTATGATTCCACTTGTGTAAGGTATTTAGAGTAGTCAAATTCACAGAAATGGAAAGTACAATATTAATAGAATGGTGGTTGCCAGGGACTGGGGGAACGGGGAGCTACTGTTTAATGGGATAGAGTCAGATTTGCAAGATGCGAAAGTTCTGGAGATCTGCACAACGTGCATATACTTTACACTACTGAACTGTACACTTAAAAATGGTTAAAATGGTACTATATATACATATATATCACCACTTTAAAAAAGAGTAAAAAGAATAATCAAACTTCTTATCTATACCAAAAAACAAATTTCTTTGGCATCAAATTCCTTTTGTCTCAAGTAAGAACCTCAATCCCTGGTGACCACAGGATGAGCAGCCCAGCGGGTCATTTGTCCTCTACTCTAATTAGCCACCATGATCTCTGGCCTTAACAGGACAGGGGAGAGGCATGCTCCGAAGGCAACACTAGGAGCCACGCTAAGGGCAGCCTCAAGTCCCTGTGGAAGCAGAGTGTCTCTGGCACCAGCTCTCTTTCACCCTCTTCCTCCAGTCCTGGCTCGGGCTTATCATCTGCAAAAGTCCCCTAACCAGTCTCCTTCCTCTTTTTTCCATAGCAAGAAATCAACAACCTGGTGAATGAGAGATTTTTTTTCCTCTACAGCCTAAGAACACCAATGTTGGGAATCACAACTGAGTATTGATAAAGTCACCATGATTATAGTTCTGCCCCCAAAGCCCCTAAGTATATGTATAAAACCTGAAAGAGAATACAAAGAAATGAAGAGTTCTTTTGTTAGAGGTGAAAATAAGGATAAATGACCATTCGTCACCTCATGGGTTTTCTGGTAACAGTTTTATTAAGATATAATTCACACAGCATAAGATTCACTTTAAGATTGTCAAGTACAGCAGTGAGAGGTGGGAAAGAGCAGAACAAGGAGTCACTCTTTTGAAGTGTGCAGTTCAGTAGTATTCAAGATATTCACAGAGTTGTGCAGCCTTCACCACTATCTAATTTTAGAAGATTTTCATCACCCCTAAATGGAAATTTTTTACCCATTAGCAGTCACTCCCTTCCTCCCTCACCCCCAGCCTCTAGCCACCACTAATCTGCTTTCTGTCTCTATGGATTGGCCTATTCTGGACAGTTTATATAAATGGGATCATACAACATATATCATGAGGTTTTAATGAAGACAAATCAAAACCAATCTGTACGCTGATGAGACACAGGCCATGCATCGAAGCTTCTGTGACTCAAGCAAACTGCAGTGCAGTATGCAGAGCTCTGGATGAGGAACTGGCTTCTCTGGTCCCTGAATGCCAGCTCTGCCACTTGCCAGCTGCAGGACTTGCTACAAAAGTCACCTCCGACCACCCTCCCTGGGCTGCAGCTCCCTTGCCTGAAAAAGCTACTAATGGCCCTTCTGGAGCCTTACACTCTCTAATTTTAAGAGTACGCTGAAAAAAAAAAGTGGCAAATAGTCTTATCTAATCTCATCTAGCAAAACAAGCACCAAACAGGTGCATTTTCCATGGTGAAAGGCCAAACCCAGCAGCTGTGGTCATGCTCTGTGACTTGCACATATTTGGCAGCTGCTGCCAGAGGCGCAGTTAATGTCCTACCTTCTGACAGAATCTGGTGGTGGGCCCGTCCTCTGCTGACTCAGCAAATTCTGTCCAAGGCAGCTTCTCTCTTGTACAGAAGGCAAAGGGCATAGCTATAAACAGGAGAAAGGGCAGAACTGTATCCAACATGCACAGCCTCTGAGGGGGGCTCCTCAGCCCAGCAGCAGGTGGTCACTGCACGAGAATATAGTCTCAGGAGTGCCACGGCCTGGCTTCTGGGTCCCGTTCCTGGCTGTGGGCACTAGGCAGCCCTTACCTCTGGGCTTCATGGCAAAACAAGGGGCTGGGCCAAATGTCTTTCCCAAAGTCTTTTTTTTTTTTTTTTAGACGGAGTCTTGCTCTGTTGCCCAGGCTGGAGTGCAGTGGCGTGATCTCGGCTCACTGCAAGCCCCGTCTCCCAGGTTCACGCCATTCTCCTGCCTCAGCCTCCCTAGTAGCTGGGACTACAGGCGCCCGCCACCACACCCGGCTAATTTTTTTGTATTTTTAGTAGAGACGGGGTTTCACCGTGTTCGCCAGGATGGTCTCATTCTCCTGACCTCGTGATCCGCTTGCCTTGGCCTCCCAAAGCGCTGGGATTACAGGCGTGAGCCACCGCGCCCGGCCTCCCAAAGTCTTAAAAACAATTGCAGCAGGGACTTGAACAGATATTTGCACACTCATGTTTATAGGAACATTATTCACAATAGCCAAAAGATGGAAACAACCCAAGTGTCTTATCAACAGATGAATTGATAGGTAAAATGTGGTGTATATACACACAATGGAGTATTATTCAGCCCTCTTAAAAAGGGAAGACATTCTGATACATGCTTACATGGATGAACCTTTAAGAATATGCTAAGATACAAAACAAATATTGTAGGAGTCTACTCATAGGAGGTATTTAGAGTAGTCAAATTCTTTTTTTTTTTTTTTTTTGAGACAGAGTTTTCGCTCTTGTTGCCCAGGCCAGAGTACAATGGCATGATCTTGGCTCACCACAACCTCCCCCTCCCAGGTTCAAGCGATTCTCCTGCCTCAGCCTTCCCAAGTAGCTGGGATTACAGGCATGCGCCACCATGCCCAGCTAATTTTGTATTTTTAGTAGAAACGGGGTTTCTCCACGTTGGTCAGGCTGGTCTTGAACTCCCGACCTCAGGTGATCCGCCCACCTCGGCCTTCCAAAGTGCTGGGATGACAGGCGTGAGCCACCATGCCCGGCCTAGAGTAGTCAAATTCTTAATGACAGAAAGTAGAATAGCTGTCAGAGGTCAGAAGAGGGGATAATAGGGAGTTACTGTTTAATGGGTAGAGGTGTCCAATTGCGAATGATGAGAAAAGTTCTGGAGATCACAGTGATGATGGTTGCACAACAACATGAATGTATTTAATGCCACAGACTGTACACTTAAAAATGGTTAAAATGGTAAATATTGTTATGTATATCTATATGCCACACACACAAAAAGTTTTAAATTGCCAAAGTTCCCAACCAGCAGATCTCCTGCTGTTGGCCAATCTGCAGGGTGGCAGGAGCTCCATTAACTCCTTGGGGAAAGTATCAGAAGGCCACTGGGGATGACACTGGGACCCTCCCTCTTCCTAGTGACAAGGAGGTTTCTTTAGAAATAAGAAAAGCTACTCATTAATGATCCCACAAAAAGTTTGGGAACCACCGAACAGGATGAACATCTGCAAGGATTAATGCTCTTATTCTCATGATCTCTGGCCAGGCCCCACCAGGGGGCTAATTTGGTAGGAAATTTCATTCAACTCATTGGTTTTTGTTTTTTTTTTTTCTCCAAACAGTAGGTACATAGACACAGAGTAACAGTTCAAAGATGCTGGTCATCTCCATGCACTCCAGGTTCAGAGCAGTCTCCTATGCAGGGGAGAGAGGGAAATCCGCTGGCGTGGGCCTTTGGGACCTTCAGCTGTCTGCCCAATGCTGCTCTACAGCCCAGCCACACATGGATATCTGCAGTGCGTGGAGTTACCTTTAGTACCTGCCAGTCTGCTGGTGTGAACGGTGCCTCACTGTGAGTAAATGTCTCCCATATCCCCAGTGAGGCTGAGTCCTTCACCACACATTCACCGGCCAGTCTGGATTCCTTCCCTACATTTTTTTGTTCATACCCTTTGCCTATTTCCTACTGGGCTATTCGTCTTTTTCTTTCTCAATCTGGAGAACTGAATTCCTTGTCTGGACTAATTCAGTATACTCTTTAGATCTCCCACCTCACAATAACCCAAGTCCATTTCTTTTTTTCTTTCCTTTTTTTTGAGATGGAGTCTTGTTCTTGTTGCCAGGCTGGAGTGCAACGGCGCGATCTCAGCTATGGGAAACATTTACTCACAGTAGGCACCGTTCACACCAGCAGACTGGCAGGTACTAAAGGTAACTCCACACGCTGCAGATATCCATGTGTGGCTGGGCTGTAGAGCAGCACTGGGAACACAGCCAAAGGTTCCAAGGGCCCACCCCAGCAGATTCCCCTCTGTGGTTGGTTATATTGGGAGGCTGGAGGAGGTGGGGTCTGATTTGCATAGGGCCCAGGGGATTGGTTTGACCAGGTGTGACATTCAAGTAGCCTGCAAAAAACCTAGCCCTCCCACCTTAGTCCTTTAATATGCAAATGTGAGCTGAGCTGCCATGACGTCCTGAACATGTGTGAGTTATCTGGAGGTGGTCATGACACTTGGCACAGGTGGTGACAAGGAGAAGAGGACAGGAACCGCCATGTTGGCCATGTTGGGTGGACCTAGCTTCTAATTGCTTGCATTTGCATATCAAAGCTTGCTGGCATGGCTCTTTAAGCCGCCTGTTCAGTTAGAAAAGAAATGGTTCAGGGGTTGCTTCTTATTACAGGAAAATTTCCACTGAGAACCTTTACTCCTTTTACTTCTTTCTAGTTGCCTAAAAATTATTTCTTTATAACTCTTGTATTCATAATAGGCAGCTCATCTCCAACACCCCTAAGCAGGTGTCACCCCCTTTATTTCACAGAGAAGGAAGAGAAGCCTCAGCCTCTCAATTCCTTCCAGTCCAAGGAAGCCTGGTCCTAAGAGTACCACAGTAAATATCCCGCCAATGGCACCACCACCACCTTGCCAAGCAGGCGGCAGGCACTGCCAGCAACAGCCCTGGGGGCCTTGGTACCACGCTCAAGGCTCCCCAGGCTCGCCTTCTGTGAAGAGAGATGAATTATTTTAAGGAAGCCGACAGAAAAGCTGTTGAAAACACAAATGCTCCTTAATGACCATTAATTCTCAGCTTTCAGAGCATTAGGAGTGAGTCAATTGCCCCCAGAGAATAAACGGCTTCTTTTCCTGTTTACACAACCACTCTAATGTAAACACACTTTCAAAAGAAGGATGTGGAAGGGGGGTTGGGTGAGGCTGACTGCAAAGTCCCAACTACAGTTCTTCAACTAGAGGGGACAGGATTCCACATGCATTGACCCAACACCTGGCCCTCAGGCACTGCCAGCCTAGAGGGAAGGAGATGAATTAGAACCTGGTGCAGCCACACAACCTGGCAGTACAGAGTGGTCAGCTCTGCCTAGGGGAGTCCCCAGGGCCCCACGAAGGAGGGGTACCTGTGCTAGACTTTGATAAATGAAGGGGAGTTCCAGATCCAAGAAAGGGAAGATGTCAGTTCAACTACCCAGTCAATACTAATGTGTAGTGCCTGTCATGCACCAGGGATTATTCTTGCCACTAAAGATGAAACAGGGGTGGGTGGAGAGTTGGGAAAAACAAACATAGGTACTATCTTCATGGAGCTCATGGTCTAATGAAGAGTGAGAGTACAGAGGTAACAAAAAATAGGAAAACGACATGAACTTCTGGGACACAGACACATGTTCTTTCCTGAAACCCTACCAACATGACAGGAAAGCAATGTTCATGCAAAGGCATATACCCACAAGGACCGGGCGCTGAGGGAGGGGAAACAGGAAGGCAGAGAGATGCAGGCAAATCTCTCAGCAGATCAGAGAAAAGAGTCCGCTAGCAGTAGAGAAGGTCTCCTGCTTATCCAAAGCTCAGGACCCAGGGGGACCAGGTACCTCTGAAGGTGGGGAAGCAGGGAAGGATGATAAACAAGGACTGGCCAAAGGTCTATTTAAGAAGCAGTTAGGGGCCGGGCGCAGTGGCTCACGCCTGTAATCCCAGCACTTTGGGAGGCCAAGGTGGGAGGATTGCTTGGGCCCAGGAATTTGAGACCTGCCTGGGCAACACAGTGAGATCTCATCTTTACAAAAAAAAAAAATTCAAGAAAATTAGCCAGGTGTGGTGGCATGCATCTATGGTCCCAGCTACTCGGGAGGCTGGGGCAGGAGGATTGCTTGATCCTGGGAGGTCGAGGCTGCAGTGAGCTGTGATTGCAGCACTGTACTGCAGCCTCAGTGACAGAGTAAGACCATGTATAAAAAAAAAAAAATAGGAAGAAATACACAACAAAATTAGGGTACTAGTCCAGGGTTCCCATATCCTAATAGTAAGACGGTCTAGAAGGAGAAAAAAGAGGAGAAAATAATGAATGAATGAAATAATGCAAGAAAATTTCCTAGAGCGTCAGAATCCAAGTTTCTAGACTAAAAGAACCCACTAAGTACCAAGAGTGGATTAAAATAGATATGCACAATGGAATATCATTATGAAATTGTAGAGTATTGGTGAAAAACAGAAACTCCTACAGTCTTCCAAAGAAAAACAAATCACAGACAATGGGTCACAAATTAAAATGGCTGTGGATTACGCAACAATGCCCCAAAACTAGAAGACAATGGAACAACGTGTGTTCAAACTTTTGAAGGAAAATGATTTCTAACCTAAAATTTGATGCTCAACCAAACTATCAAGAAAATTGTAAAAGGAACATATTTTCAGATGGGCAAGGCCTCAAAAAGTTTACCTCTGATGTGTTCTTCCTCAGGGAACTACTGGTTCTGAGAGTCCCTAGCTAAATGGGGGCTCCAGTATCAGAGTGGCTAGCAACCCAGCACTAACAGGAAATGAAGGGAGCTGGACGTGGTCTCTATAGTGTGCCTTTCACAGGATACATCTTGTACATGGTGGACAGCCTAATGCCTGTCTGTCCAACCCATGACCAGGGGGTCCCTCATACATGAAACTTGTTTACACTGGTAGATGCTGTGTGGCTCTTGCCTGACCTGTCCCTGCCTGACTACCACTCTGGCACTAGGAGTCCAACTTTGTGTTTCCCCCGGTATCCCAGGGAAAACCCAGCCTGGGGCAGCCCCTGGTTCTTCTCATGGAAGGTGCAAATTCAACACACCATCGCAATAGGAAACAAGTTTGAAGATTTTTACTTACAGATCCTGGGTAAGGAGAGTGCCATGAGTCATAAGGGCAGTCCTCTGTCCCCAGGTCAGATGAGGCAGAAATGAAGAGTCAGAGAGAGTGTGGGCCAACTAGCAGTACACATAATGACTAAGATGTGGTCACCTTAAGTTAATGGCCAAATGCCTGGATGGTCCATTTAAAGGAAGTAGCAGGAAAGTGGGCAGCCGGGTCGGCTGGCGGGAGAAAGGTCTCTTAAGTTCTTACCTCTGGCCACTTGACCTGAGCCATTTGGGTGTGGCGTAGAACTGGGAACTGTGTCCAGGGTGACTGAGCCCTGCCTCTGGTATGACAGAGTTAAACTTGTATTCAACATGGATGCTAAGGCAACATAAATCTGTAAGGATCCACTACACTACTGAAATAAGGGCATAAACCAAGAAAGAGGAAGCTGTGGGAACAGAGAAACACAAGAGCAAAGCAAAGGGATTCCCCAGGGTGATGGTGAGGGGGGATCCCAGGACAACTGTGTGGCCAGCAGAGGGGGCACCTGATTCAGCCCACAGCAGTCACAAGGCTCCGGAGCAGATTCCTTGGAGGAGATGAAACTGATAGACTGTTTGATGTGTCTAAAACACATTAAGGGAGATTTAGGAATTCGTAGAAAGTTTGGGGTTGAATGGTGGCAAGTAGAAAACAAAGCAAACTCTAGGGAAAACAGAAAATAATTCAGGAAAAGAAATAAAAGTTCAGCCTGAGCAATATAGTGAGATCTCCATCTCTACAAAGTGTTTTTTTGGTTTGTTTTTTGTTGGTTTTTTTTTTTTCAATTAGCTGGGCATGATGGTGTACACCTGTGGTCCCAACTACTTGGCAGGCTGAGGTGGGAAGATTGCTTGGGCCTGGGGTCAAGGCTGCAGTGAGCTGTGATTGCACCACTGCACTCCAAGCCTGGGTGACAGAGTAAGACCTTGTCTTAAAAAAAAGAAAAAGGAATCAAAGTTGACAAAACGGTTGGGGGGATAGAAGAACAAGGACACGTGTATGTTGAAGGGCCAGGAGGAGGCAGGAAAGGGCTAACACTGACGTCTTCCATAGGGGGAAGTCAATAGGTGATGCAAAACTAAAAAATTAGGAAGTAGCAACACTAACAAAGGTAAATTCCAAAGGAACTAGCTCAGTGTTGATGCTGGGGATAACAGTTATTTTTTGGTAACAGACCTTGTAGACCCATCTGACTCTAAACCATGAGCATGTATAACTCTGATAAAAATAAAAACCACAAAGGTACATTGTGCAAGAAATGTTTAGATAGGGAGGCTGGCTCTGGGCTGAGATCTGAAGGTAAAGAAGTCCTGGTTAGGAGGGCACAGGAGACCAGCCAGAGGGAATTACAAAAGTCGGGGGTGGGCTGCCAGAGGCCTGGACCAGGTGGTGGTAGAGAAATGGGGAGGAGTGAATGGATTCAGAACGATGTGGGAAAACTGATGGCCTCAGACAACAGCCTGGTGCGTAACAACAGGAAGGCTGGGGTTCCTGGTGATGTGGACAGAAAACCTTTCCATGGATGAGAAAACAAAGGAGATTCTTTAAAAGTCAGGCAGCAGACACACTTGGCAACATGGAGAGAATACACAATTGTTTGAAGGCAGCAGAGAAAGCACCATAAAAAAGACTCACTCCATGCTTCCTGGAAACAGATGATGTTGACTCCACACATTGCAGCCACCTCTATGATAGCCTTTATGCGTCTATGAAGGGCAGAGACCTGAGAATTTAAAAAGGATTAGAATCCATTTAGTTCTATTGGTAAGGCAATTTTTAGGATCTCATCCTAATGCATATGGAATAATCAATGCCCACCTGGGCAGGTATGAGGAGTAGGGTGGGGAGGTTCTATATTTGGTTATCTCCTGATGTCCAAAATCTGCATGAAAAGCTGGAGGTGCAGAGGCTCTGGGGTCACAGACACTTTGACACTGCCTCAGTTTCCTCATCTGGTAATGGGGAGACTGCCACCTGACCTGTGGGGTTGCTGAGAGGCAGGGATGAGGATGGTGCTGCTTCTGGTTCAGGGCCCATGCTCACACCATCTCCCAGGTCAACCATCCCCTTGGCCCGGGACTCTGCTCTCCACTGTCCTGCCTTCAGAGGCAAGTCTTGTCCCGCACTTATCCTACTTGTTCTACTTATCCTGTGTGTATCGTATCATGGAATGCCTCGCCTCTCTGGCTCTTTTAAATCTCTGTGCTTTGGTGTGTGCTGTGCCCTGGGCCAGGAATGTACTTCCCTCCTCCCACCTAATCTTCCTGGAGGTGTTATCTATGTCACGTGTCGCCCCTCTGTGGGCCTCTGCAGACTCTCACAGTTGTGGGCCAAGTGTCAAGCTAACTCGGAATCCACTGGCCTTCGGGAGCCATCGTGTGCCACTGCTTTGTGTGCCACTCTTCCTCTGGTGTCTTGTCACTCCCAGGAGCCCACAGGCTCCTTAGGGATAGGAAGAAAGCAACCTCATCGTCTACTTGTCCTTGGCACAATGCCTGGCTCCCAGGAGACATCAAAAGTGTTTGTTCAAAGACAGACCAAAGGAACCAGGCTGAAAACCCAGAGTGCACAAACTCTTTACAAGGCCTATAGTCTCCTCCTTTGAGAGGCTGTGTACCCCACGGCTTTGTGGGTATTTGCTGACAGCATCAGCCCCACAAATACACATTTGCTTGGCGTTAGCAAAGCTTTTTGCTAACTGTGTGGGTGAAAAAAACATAGCTGGTCCTATGACTTGACAGTCTGGGACGATAGAGGGGACATATCCACAAAAAAAGAATCCAGACACAAAAAGTGAGAGAACTGAGAACCAGACATCTGTGAATCCAACAAAAGCAAAGGAAGGACCAATGTGAATGATGATGCAGAACCAAACCTGGAATCCAAGAGACCTTAGGTTTCTCCAGAATCCCTAAGAATCCTCAAACACCCTGTATCCTGAGGAAACCTGTACAGGGAAATCCCTGAAAGTTTGAGCAGCTGGAGGAATGCTGTGGAGAAGTATATAAAACAAACCACCTGTGCCTGTGACAATATGTTTCTTTAGGGAGATACCAGATGCTGTCACCTTTATTTACTAACTCTGAGGTCATAAGCAAATGCCTATCTATTCCTGTAAGCCTGCAGGTACCACAGCTGACAGACTTCTGGGTATAGCGAGTCCCCGCCCTGAGGATTAAGGCAGAAGAACACACGGACAGACGGTCCTGACTAGTGTGTGCTGGCTGGCTGCCTCCTGGCAGGCAGCTGAGAGGCAGCGTCCCGTGGAGAGCACGAGCAGGCCAAAAGGGCACCCTCCTGGTTGGTAAATGGAGCTTCAGATCAATAGCTGGAGAGAAGTGGAAAGATCAGTGAGGAGGAGGGAGAGACAGAGTAAGAACAAGAAGGCAGAAGAGCCAGAGATGCAGGCTGGAGGGCTGTGGGGAGGCCAGGGCAGGAGCGTCTCAGCTACTGCTCAAGGGATCCAAGCCTGCAGACGTGGAGTATGTGGCCAGCCAGGGTCTGCGGGTGTGCTCCAAAGGGCGAGCCACAACCCCGTTTGTGTATTTATTATGGTCAAAAGTCTGTACCTGTTCTGCCACAGGGGCATCTGCGGGGAGTGGGGTTCTGTTCTGAACCAGCCCCACATGCACGATGCGGGGTCGTCTCAGCTGCTCCTCCGCTGCTTCAAAGGCATATCCCTGCAGTTCAAAGTCTTCTCTGGAGGCAGCTTCGAAAGCTTCCCTGGGCAGATCAAGCTTCCTAGACGGGCAGGAAAGAAAAGGGAAGGTGATTTTGATGCAGTCTGCTCCACTTAAAAGCCCTCTCCCATTTCCTGTAGTTATTTATCAGTCAAAGAGGTGAGTATGTCCTGGCTAGAAGGTGCTCAGTGCCAGGGCCCAAGGGAGCTGGGGAGCAGGGGGGTCCAGCCATGACCGAACACTACACTGAACCTAGACTTTACCTGCAGTTGGCAGGGAGACCTCAGCAGAGAGGCAGCACAGTTAGGCCTGGCAACGGGGAAGCCAGTCAAGAGGTTGGTGTTTTAGACTTGCTGAAATCAGGGTAGGAATTAAAGGCCTCGCAGTCAACACAGAAAGGAGGGAATAGATTCTCAAAAGTGTTTCTGAAACAAAATCAGGACTATGCTGAGCCTAGAGTGTGAGGCAGGCTGTGGGAGCAGAGAAGGGCTTGGAAAATGAGGCTCAGGAGACAGGCTGGTTGGAGAGGCCATGACCTGGGACCATATGGATGACCTTGTGGTGAACAAAGACCCTGGCTACTCTGTCCTGCTGCTTCTGCTGGGGGAGGCCAGTTCCACACCTGGTGTTGGGTGGGCCTGGTGGGGCCCAGGTGTTCAGATGGAAGCCTTAAATGCTCATCCACATTTGTAGTTTATTAACAAAGGCTAGAGAATTAGTTATAAAACACTTCACTGAAGTGACCATTGGCCGAACAGCAAATAACCCCTGATGCCTGTTGCACACCCAGAGGGGAAACCCATACAGGCATGGGATGGGACACGGCCCCTGACCAGGAAGGGCTTACCATCTAAGGGCAAGATGATTATGAAATACCCAGAAAACACATCAAAAAATAACCTGACAGCCATTATCTAATAATAATATTTCTCTCCTACTTTAAATCACTTTCTTAGAGACGTTTCTTTCAAAATCACAGCCCTGTCAGCCCAAGCCCCCTGTCGCCGCCCCCTGCCAGGCACTTTCCATGTGATGGCCCTGACAGCTCTGAGTTCGGTTCCGCCCCTGACAATCAGCCTGCTTTTCAAGTAGTCAAGGTTCCCTTCACTCCAGCAGGTTAGAAATAGCAGCAGTGCCCACACCGTGCCTCTCCTTGCTGTGATTGCCTTAGACAGCCCTCCCATCCTCCAGCGGAAGGGCGCTCCTGCAGGCCTCAGCCTCAGGGCAAATCCCCTCTGGTGGACATAATCACGCAACTTTCCAGGATGTGTGTGTGGGTAGATACCGGGAGAAAAAGGAGCAAGGTTTATGTGTCTATTTCCTCGAAGGCCTGTGGGCCTGGGAGCCAGACAGCCTTTGAGAGTGTCCTGGTGAACCCTGCCTGGCCTCTCAGCCTGTGGTCTCATAGCAGGAAGATGTCAGGTGAAGAGCTCATCTTGGGTGTGGAAACATGGCTATAACCATCACCTGGCTGAAGTCTCTCTCCCCATCTTCCCACCATGCATAACCTCCATTACCTACCCTTCTTCCCCCAAGTGGTGACTCCGCCTGGCCAGCCCTGAGGCTGCCCACCTCCTCATCCCCAGCTCCCTGCGAGCTCATTCTAAGCCAAGGCGATACAGGAGAGGCCGCTCCACCCTCCAGGACAGCCACCTTTGGGGCTCTACCTCTTCCCAGCCACTCCCGTCTACTATCTGGGCACCACCTGTAAGGCCTCTCTGCCCTTCCATTATCCAAGACAGTCCATCACCACATCCTACACAGCTTCATCTTGGAGAACCTAATCAACTCTCAAGCCATACCTTGTGCAGACGCAGTCAATGATGTGCTGTGTCCACCGAAAGGCCTGGTACGGGAGATGCAGTGGACCACTGAGAGGGACTGAATACTTATGTCTGCCCCAAAGCCATATGTTGAAATCCTAATCTCCAATGTGATAGGGCTCTTTGGGAGGTGATTAGGTCATGAGGGTAGAGTCCTCATGAATGGGATTAGTGGTCTTTTAAAAGACCCCCTAAGAGGGGGTGCTTGCTTCATGTACCATGTAAGCACACAGTGAGAAGGCACCATCTACGAACCAGGAAGTGGGTCCTCACCAGACACCAGATCTGCTGTGGCACCTTGATCTTGGATTTCATAGCATCTACAACCGTGAGGAATAAATTTACGTGGTTTAAGACGGGGAGAGAGACCGCAGCCAGGTGTTGGTTACAGCAGGTTTGCACACTCAGACAAGAGCTCTCCCACCTGACATCTTCCTGATGTGAGACCACAGGCTGAGGACAGGGCTCACTAGGACATTCCCAAAAGGCCGTCCAGCTACCAGGCCCACAGGCCTTTGGGGAAACAGACACACAGACCCTTCTCCTTTTTCTCCCTGTGATTGCCCACAAGTACTGGGAAGTCTGTGGTATTTTGTTATAGCAGCTCAAAAGTACTAAAACAAGCATCAATCAATCAGCCACTGCCCAGGAGGAGGACAAGACCAGCAAATGAGCCACAACCTCACAGATGGCCTCATGCTGCCACTGCCCGCCCTGGTCCCTATAGTTGGCTTTCAGACCCTCTATCCCTTACCCTGCTACTGAGGCCTCCTTGCATCAGTGCTTTCCTTCAAACTTGAAGGAGTAAAGCCCATCACTTCCCATCCTAGCCCCACCATGCCCTTCAGGGCCCCCACCTCTCCCACCCAGGGTCAGGCAGATCTCGCCAGAGGACACCAAGTTCCTGCCTCCGCAGCAACCTCTCACTTCTGGAACTTCATCTTTCTACCTCTGATGGCTCTTTACCATCAGTGCTTTAAATAATTAAACTGGAGCTCTTTTACAAAAGAAACGTGCTCATGGTGGGGGTGAATCAAATAGTGGGAAAGGGTATAAAATGAAAAATAAATTCCCCTTTCTATCCCACCCCTAGTCCCAAAACTCAGAGGCAACCCTTCTTAACAATATTTTATGTCTCTTTCCTATTTTCCTATGTGCATGCATTACAAATACAATGGCATCATTCCATATTTTCTGTTCTTCAACTTGCCTTTTTCACTTAATACACATAGCTTGGACGTCTTTCCCCACTAGTACCTATAGACCTCCACATCCATCACTGAAGCTGTTAAAAAGTCTCTCCCACTGAACAACAGAAGGGGACTGGGGAGGGAGAGGAGAAGAGGAAGAAAGAGAAAGAGGCACAGTGCTCCACACATGTCCACGTTTACTCACTTGCTCTCTCTCCCTGCTGCCTAGGGAGCTTCCACACATGCTTCCCCGTCAGCTCAGGTCTCACCTCCTGGCCCCATCTCAGGAACTGCCACCAGCCTTATCATGGCTAAATCCAGCAGACTTCCTGCTGTCCTCACCTGCTAGACATTTCTGAGCCATCTGATGCTTCTTTCCCTGTCTTGCCCCACAGTCCTCACCTCCAGAATCTCCCACAAAGTATCTTTCTCTGACCCCTTGAATATCCGGGTTTTCCAGCATTCGCTCCAGTGCCCTCTTTTGTATCTGCTCCTCCTCCACCTGGAATGACCATCTCTAGGGCAGCTCAACAAGCCCAGCCTCTCCCACCTGAGGCCCATCTCCACATAGCGAATAGCCCCTGGGTTATTTCCACCTGCAGACCCTGAAGCTACCGTAGCAGGTTGAGCTGTGTCTCCATCCTGACACCTGGAACCTGTCATTGTGATTTTATTTGGAAAAAGGGTCTTCCCAGATGTAATTAAGATCAAGATCTCAAGATCATCCTGGATTATTCAAGTAAGCTCCAAATTCAAAGACGTGTGTGTGTTTGAGACAGGGCCTTGACCTGACTCCCAGGCTGGAGTGCAGAGGAGAGATCTTGGCTCACCACAGCCTCAACCTCCCAGACTCAAGCGATCCTCCCGCCTCAGCCTGCCGTGTAGCTAGGACTACATTATAGTGCATGCTACCATGCCTATGTTTTTCTTAACATTTTATAGAAATGGGGTCTCACTATGTTGCTCAGGCTGGTCTCAAACTCCTGAGTTCAAGCAATCCTCCAGCCCTGGCCTCCCAAAGTGCTGAGATTACAGGTGTGAGCCACTGCACCTTCCTCAAAGACAAGAGACACCACAGGAGAGATACAGGGACAACAGGAGAAGGCCAAGAGAGAGGCAGAGACTGGCTGTCACAACCTAAGGAAAGCCAGGAGCCACCTGAGGCTAGAAAAGACAAGGGAGGATTCTCCCCTAGGATCTTTGGAGGGAACACGGCCCTGCTGACACCTTGGTCTTATACTTGTGGTCTTCAGAACTGTGAGAATGAGTTTCTGTTGTTTCAAGCCACCCAGTTTGTGATAATTTGTTACAGCAGCCCTATGAAGTAAACAACACTCAAATGCAACCTGTCCAAAGATGCTCCTCATCACATGAGTCAACTGGCCATCTGAGAGTCCAAGCCAGAAGCCGGCAAGATCCTCACTGCCACAGCTGTTATCCTCATTGGCTCACTGTCCACTGACCTCCCTGAAACCTCTGGAAGCCTTCTGTCTCTCCACTCCCAGGTACTCTGTTCACATCAGGCCTCTCGTCTTCCACCTACTTTTTTCCAGGCTAGTCTTTTTTCCTTTCCTTAAATTTCAGCTTATCCAGTCGTTATTCCAGGTCATTCTTCGCTCAGCTACCAGGTCAAACTCTTCAAAGGCTCTGCCATTATCGGGACACAGTTCTGCTGCCTCAGAGACCCTAAGAGCTACCTGCCACTCCTGCCTCCTCTCTCAGGTCTTCCTCAGGAGAGCACTCAATGACTAACCCTCTCACAAACACAGTCTCCAAATGGGCATGTCCCCTGGTATCTGGGGACATGTACCCTTCCTGTCTCCCCTAGGATGTAGCTCAGGCATGATGCTCCTGGGAAGCCTTCCTAATGTCCCTCCAACCCCAAACACACAAACTCTCTCAAGCTCTTCCTGCCTCCTCCTCACAGTGTAAGGCAACCATCAAAAGATAGAAAGCCCTGAAGGGCAGGAACCATGACTTATCCTGGTATCCCCAGTGCCAGTGGCCAGGACTAAGTGCTCAATGAATGCTTGTTGACTGAATGACTGCTTCTTGGTTCTGGTTGTCTTAAAATGGAAAGTCGATGTTCTCTGGGGATTTCATCTGCCACAGGCAAAGGGCCATTTGGCTAATTCACTGAGCAAACATTTACTAAGCATTGTAAGTGGGCGAAGAGGTGGTCTTGTGTGGAGCACACTGGGAGTCAGATCCGAGGGGCTAAGGGCTTCAGGTCCACTGGACCTTCACAGAGGTAGCTATGTCCAAATCAGACTTACAGGAGTTTACAGGAATTTCAGTGGGATTAGAGTTTTTAAATGAGCAGTAATTTTTTTATCTTCAGTTCGAAATGTCATTCATCGCCAAATCCCACACATTAGCAAGGACAGAGTAAGTACAAAGGTTTACACCTTAGGGATAAAAGCTGAAAGGGCTAAATGCTGAGTAGAACAGAGCAAGAAAAGGGGGTAGGAAAAGGAGCCACTTAGTTATTGTGAGCCCCAGGATGAAGCCTGGCAGTGATTGGTCAAGAGAGACAGCTGTCTCCCATTTCACCAGCTATTATCATCACATAATTATCACACTCCCGCTCTGGAGTGACCCAAATGCTTAGATAAAATCCCTCTTGCATGGGCTGACCTCAGTCCTTCTAAAGAATGTCCCCCAGCCAATCACCTTTATGGGAAACTGACTTATCTTTTCCTAAGACTCTTCTCCTTTACTTCTCCCTGGCACCCACATGCTGTCTTTTTTACCAGGAAGATATGCCCATCCCACTCTTAGAATAAAGTAATTCCCATCCCTAGAAGCATAAGACACCCCTTGCTTTATTTAAGACATTTTCCTTAGGAGTCTCAAATCTAAGACACTTCTCAAGGACTAGTCTTTACAGATGCAGTGGAAATAGGAGCATGAGTGCATTCACTGGGAAGGGCCTTAAAGGTCACCCAGCCCTTTGGATATGAAAAGCCCTTTCTGACAAAGTTCTCTACTACCTCACTCCCAAAAAGCAGCTGTTCTAACTTCATCATCCATTAGCTGTGAAAACACCCTTGGATCTGAGGTCTAGCCTCCCTGCAGTAACTCCATAGCAGCTGTGGCTGGGAACCACTGATCCAATCAACACCTTCAGTTACCGGTAAACTGCTCTGGTTCCTGCCGCAGGGTCACTGCCACAAGGTCATGGAGCCCGCAGACTGGCTGGACTCGGGGAGAGAGGGAGCCCACAAATGAGCAACGAAGTGGAAGGAGAGTTAGTCAGGGGCTGCATGCAGTCAGAGTTTGGATTTCATCCTAAGAGCCCAGGAAATTCCTTACAGAGTTTTATGCACAAAGGAACAACAGGATATGATTTTTTTTGTTGTTTTTTTGAGACGGAGTCTTGCCCTGTCGCCCAGGCTGAAGTGCGGAGGCGCGATCTGAGCTCACTGCAACCTCCGCCTCCTGGGTTCAAGCAATTCTCCTGCCTCAGTCTCCCGAATAGCTGGGACTACAGGTGTGTGCCACCACGCCCAGCTAATTTTTGTGTTTTTAGTAGAGATGGGATTTCACCATATTGGCCAGGCTGATCTCGAACTCTGGACTTTGTGATCCACCCGCCTCTGCCTCCCAAAGTACTGGGATTATAGGCATGAGCCACCGCGCCAGGTCAACAGGATATGATTTACATATTAAAGGGATCCTCTGGTTGCTGCAGTTAAGAAATGCACTGAAGAGAAACAAGAGTGGAAGGGGAAGTATCTTTTTCTTTTTTTCTTCTTTTTTCTTTTTTGAGACAGAGTCTCACTCTGTCACCCAAGCTGGAGTGCAGTGGCAGTGATCTCTGCTCACCGCAAGCTCTGCCTCCCGGGTTCAAGCCATTCTCCTGCCTCAGCCTCCCAGGTAGCTGGGACTACAGGCGCCCACCACCACGCCCGGCTAATATTTTTTATGTTTAGTAGAGACGGGGTTTCACCGTGTTAGCCAGGATGGTCTCAATCTCCTGACCTCGTGATCCGCCCGCCTCGGCCTCCCAAAGTGCTGGGATTACAGGCGTGAGCCACTGAGCCCGGCCGGGAAGTGTCTTTTTCAGCTTTGTGGACACAGTGTCCAGCAGTACACAGCCCTCAAAGTCCTGGTGATGCACACAGCTTGCAGGGAGTGGAAAAACTAGCGCCCATAGCTTGCCAGTGGGAAAGGTTCCCTCGCCAACTAAATGCAGCCAGCCTCTATTTCCAAGAGTCAGCCAGAGGTCGGGTCACAGCAGGAAGGATGGTCTGGGGCCGGACAATCAGTACACCTGCTGGGTGCTCTGGTTGGAGACAGTGATCCAGCCAGACACCCAGAAGACAAGCCCGGCTCCATGGAGGAGGGTTGGGATGGCCACAGAGAAAGCCCTGGAGAGTAAAATCCCGTCCTTTTCCTTCCAGTTCCGGGCAACGTGGGGGAGAAGAGATTTGTAAAGGTCACGCCAGGATTCTGCAACCCCCAAGGACCCTAGGGTTGTCCCATCAAGACCTACTATGGTCTCTACCCGCCAACTCAGGACTTCTCACTACCTCCCCTGAGCCCTTCAGACTCTGAGGCCCTCCCTGCCTGCTCCCCGAGACCCACACTCTGTGGCCCCAAGATCCCATAAGTTAGCCTCTGGGCTGCGGACCTGAGTTCCTTGCCATAGAGAACGCGCTTCACCTCCTGCAAGTCGGGGAGCGGTAGGTGCTTCTCCAAGCATTCCTCCAGCGACTTCCACTCAGCGCCCGCCATGGCCATGGTCCGCCAGGGCTTGTGTCCCCGCACGAACTGCCTGCCCTTTGCCCGCAGTGGGAGGAGCTGCCCAAGCCTGCTCAGGCGCTCTCGCCTTTATCTCTTACTCTCGCTCAGGGACAGCTCACGTGGGGACACACCCCTTCCTCGCGCAGCCAATCTGCCCTCCAGGGCTTCGCGAGTGGGACCGCCCCTGGCCTTTAGCGCTTATTCGGCACGTGCCAAGACACGTTCCTCTTGCCGCTTCCACAGCACACCGCCAATCAGCGCTCCAGGGCCTCGCGTGGGTAGGGGGAGGAGGGGAATTGCCCTTTGCCCCTTGCCCTCTGCCCCTTGCCCTTCGCCTCTCCTTTGGCACGCGATGAGACACGCCCCTCCACAGGCGGGACTGCGCGGAGCCCTAGCTCCTCGGCTTCAAGTCGGGTCTCAGGGTGTCCCCTCCCGCCTCCCTCAGGGGCCCTCGCACGGGTGCCTCCAGGTTCCACCCCTCACCTGCCCCTTGGTGTCGGGGCCGGACCCTGGAGAGGTCTTGAAGGAAGCCTGGGCGCGGCCTCGGGGGGCTGCGGCGCGGGTCTGAGGTAAATGGTTCCAGCAGCAACCACCGGGCAGGTCCCCTCCGGACCGCGACCTCCAGTCCGAAGCACAGGGCAGCCGGCCGGGCCAGCCTCCCGCACAGGACGACGGAGGAAGGTAGGGGAGAGTTTCAGTGTCCCATGGGGACGCGGCGGCTGTACTTCTGTCCGCTCCGAAGCCTTTATGTCTGGGGAGTTTTAACCCCCTAGGGGCCAGGCTCGGAGTCCAGGTCACTACCTGGGCTGCGCGTTCCCACCCCCGGTTTTGGGGCCGCGTTGGAACCGAAGGTCAGCTGCTCGCCTGCCCTTACATGCACCTCCGTGGAGCTAATACTGTAAAATGCGGGGTCCCCGGGCAAGGGCGCGCCCCCTGCACCCTAGGACCCCCTTTCAGCCCTGCCCTCTGCCGTGTGTGTGCGCGCGCAAATATGGGCACTTTCCTGGGGTAGGGTGCGCTTTAGACTGTCGCTGAGATGGTAGGAGTGAGAGCCCCGTTTGCTGTTACCAAAGAAGCGTCCTCTTTGGGGTCCTGTTGAGAATCAGGGCAGTAAGGCCCGCTTATCTCGGTGGGCAGCCAGGTGAAGGAACCAGTCTGTAGAAATCCTATTTAGCCACTTGTAAACCTTGTGACCCCCAGGAAAGTTATTTAGTCACTGGAGGCTTCTGTTGCTTTATCTGTAAAATAGGAATGCAAAGATGACGCTGCGGGGTTGTTTAAAAGTCAGAAAAGGCCAGCACGGTGGCTCATGCCTGTAATCCCAACACTTTAGGAGGCCAAGAAAGGAGTATTGTTTGAGGCCAGGAACTCCACACCAGCCTGGGTAACACAGCAAGACCCTGTATCTACAAAATAATTTTTTAAAAATTAGCCTATCATGGTGGTGTGCACCTGTTTCTTGGGAGGCTGAGGTGAGAGGATCACTTGAGCCCAGCACTTCAAGGCTCCCTAGCTGTGATCTTACCACTGCACTTCAGCCTGGGCAATAGAGACCCAATCTCAAAGAAAAGAGGCAAGTAAGATGAGCACAAGGGAGCTAATTTATATCTAGAAGCAGCTACTAACATTAAAAATAAGTGCTGTAAGGCCGGGTGCAGTGGCTCACGCCTGTAATCCCAGCACTTTGGGAAGCTGAGGTGAGTGGATCATGAGGTCAGGAGTTCAAGATCAGCCTGGCCAAGATGGTGACACCCCGTCTCTACTAACAATACAAAATAAATAAATAAATAAATAAATAAATAAATAAATAATTAGCTGGGTGCAGTGGCAGGCACCTGTAATCCCAGCTACTCGGGAGACTGAGGCAGGAGAGTCACTTGAACACAGAGGGCAGAGGTTGCAGTGAGCCAAGATCATGCCTGTGCTCCAGCCTGGGTGACAGAGTGAGGCTCCGTCTCAAAAAACAAGCAAACAAACAAACAAAAAAGGTGCTGTAGGGCCACATACTATACTTCAGGTATTTTGTTTAGGCTACTAATTCGCAAGTTTTGTTCCTTGTTTTGATAAATGTTAACTGACAGTTTCTAGTGTCTGATGGAGCTGCCTTTTCAAGAATGCAAACTCTGAGGACTTTCTATGTGTAAGGCACTGCCAAGAGAGCCATATAAAGACAGATAAGACCTAGTACTTTTTCTCTGTGATTTAAAGTAAAGATGGCTGGCACGGTGGCTCACGCCTATAATCCCAGCACTTTGGGAGGCCGAGGCGGGCAGATCACTTGAGGTCAGGAGTTCGAGACCAGCCTGACCAACATGGTAAAACCCCATCTGTACTAAAAATACAAAAATTAGCCAGGCATGGTGGCGCATGCCTGTAATCCAGCTACTCAGGAGGCTGAGGCAGGAGAATCGCTTGAACCCAGGAGGCGGAGGTTGGAGTGAGCTGAGATCGCGCCATTATACTCCAACCTGGGCAAGAAGAGCAAAACTCCGTCTCAAAAAAAAAAAAAAAAAAGTAAAAACAAACTTGTAAATACAGCAGATTGAAATAATTTGAGATGAAAAATATACGATATACTATGGAGTGCAAAGAAAGAGGTGATTTCTGGCTTAGAGAAATTGTTGTAGGTCTCATGGAAGAGGCTTCAAAGTCAACTCAAAATGCTTCAAACTGAATGAACTTTCACCTCCTTTCTCAAGCAGGCTCTTATCTTCTTTGGTTGTTGTTGTTGAGACAGAGTTTCGCTTTTGTTGCCCAGGCCGGAGTGCGATGGCGTGATTTTGGCTCACTGCAACCTCCTCCTGGGTTCAAGCGATTTTCCTGCCTCAGCCTCCCGAGTAGCTGGGATTACAGGCGTGTGTCACCACACAGGCCAGTTTTTTATATTTTTAGTAGAGACGGAGTTTCACCATGTTGGTCAGTCTGGTCTCGAACTCCTGACCTCAGGTGATCCGCCTGCATCGGCCTCTCGAAGTGCTGGGATTACAGGCATGAGCCACTGCGCCCAGCCTCTTAGCTTCTGCATGTATTCCCTATTTCAGTAATGGCCTCACCACCCACTGATTTGCCAAGTTTTTAAGAGTTATCTGCAACTCCTCCATGTTCTTTCTTTCCCCCATAAAATCAGGCATCAAGTTCTGCTAAATTTATCTCCTGGATTTTGTTCATATCCTTCCTCCTCCCTCCTCATGTCTGCCTCCTGTCATCTTTTACTTGAATTGTTGCCAGTCTTCTAAGTTGTCTCTCCACCTCCAATGTCTATCCTTAGTTGTCTTTCTAAAACTAGTATCTTTCCATCCTTTGTACCCTCGCATTCAGTGTATCCCTACCTGGAATCACCTTTCATCCTTCATTTTGTGACCGCCTTCTCACCCTCTACCATGCAGTTGAAACGTCACCTCTTCTGTAAAGACTTCTCGAATTGCCTCAGAAAAAGTTAGGCTCCCCCAGGCCTTCATAGATAGCTCTCTTGTTATATTTATTAAACAGTATTGTGTAGTTATTTCTGTGCTCTCCTCAGAAAATGGACCGGATCTATTTTTGTATCCAGAGGACTTTAGCACTCAATAAATGATTATCGAAGGCATCAACTCTGGGATCATGGACAAATTCATTAAGGTGATAACACTGAGCTGGACCTCGAGGCAGTAGTAGAAACTATTATTACTAGTTAAAATATTTAGTTCATTTTTCCCAATTGTTAAGTGACAGGTCATTCATACTAGTTCGTTATAAACCAGTGTTTCATAAATAAAAAGTTGTATTAAAAATGTTTATATTTGCCGAATTTACTTTTTACTCTGAATGATACCGAGACACTTCACTAGCTCTTTCTGTGGTAATCATTTTGTTTTTTGCTTGTTTTTGAGATGGAGTCTCCCTCTGTCACCCAGGCTGGAGTGTGGTGGAGCGATCACGGCTCACTAAAACCTCCACCTCCTGGGTTTAAGTGATTCTTGTGCCTCAGCCTCCAGAGTAGCTGGGATTACAGGTATGTGCCACCACGCCTGCCTAATTTTTGTATTTTTAGTAGAGATGGGTTTTCACCATGTTGGCCAGGCTGGTCTCAAACTCCTGACCTTAGGTGATCTGCCCACCTCAGCCTCCCAAAGTACAGGGATTACAAGCGTGAGCCACCGTGCCTGGCTCTGTGGTAATCATTTAAAAAGACGTAAGGCTCTGCCCTAGTTTCCTTCTGAAATATCCTGCCAACCCAAAAGGTTATAACTACATGCAAGCATACTAGAGTGAGGGATTCTTCCTTGTTTGGAAGAACAACTCTTTCTCTGGCAACATGGTGTGGTTTAAGGATGTATAACCCATAATTTGGTAAGTGTATACAAACATGGGCAGGAAGGACAGAATACACGCAACCTCAACATGATGGATACCTCTGGAGAGGGAGATAGGGGAATGAAATAGAAGAATGGGAATTATCTGTTAATAGATAATATTTTAATTCTTTTTAAGAGATCGGAGACATATGACAATATTAACATTTGAAAAACCTGCGTGCGGCTTATTACCAATACTTTTATGTTTGAAATATATATTTAAAAAATTATAGAAGAAAAGAGACTTAGAACAGGAGTCAGGAAACCTGCAGTTTAGTCTGGGTTCTACTTTAACCTTAGTTTTCCTGTTATAAAAAAGATAGGGGCCAGGTGCGGTGGCTCACGTCTGTAATCCCAGCACTTTGACAGGCCGAGGTGGGTGGATCACTTGAGGTCAGGAGTTGGAGACCAGCCTGGCCAACATGGTGACACCCCATCTCTACTAAAAATACAAAAATTAGCTAGGGATGGTGGTGCATGTCTATAACCCCAGCTACTGGGGGGCTCAGGCAGGAGGATCATTTGAGCCTAGGAGGTGGAGGTTGCAGTGAGCTGAGATCGTGCCACTGCACTTCAGCCTGGGAAACAGAGCGAGACTCTGTCTCAAAAAAAAAAAAAAAAAAAAGATTGGAGAGGGGAGGGAACTGGTGAAACAGTCTATAGAGATGATGTAAGTCTTGTCCTAATTCTAATAAAGTATGATACTAATAATCTAGCTATGTATAAATTCCTCTATTTATATGCTTATTTGTGAGAAAACAGTTTCATTATAGAAGCTGGTTCTGCAGAAGGAGCTTATTTGTTAAAAATGTATTAGTGTCTGTTTTTAGGTATTACTTTTAAATTCACAATATGTGTTTATTTTAATCCTTAGGGAAGGTATTTAAAGTGCTTTTTAAAAAGTGATATGTATAGGAAATTAAATTTTCTTATTTTTAATTTTTGTGAGGACATAGTAAGCATATATATTTATTGGGTGCATGAGATGCTTTGCTACAGACATGCACTGTGTAATAATCACGTCATGGTAAATGGGGTGTCCATCCCCTCAAGCATTTATTCTTTGTGTTACAAACAATCCAATTATACTCTTACAGTTATTTTTAAATGTACAATTAAATTATTATTGACTATAGTCACCCTGTTCTGCTAGCAAATACTAGATCTTACTCATTCTAACTACTTTTTGTACCTATTAACCATCTCCACTTTTCCCCCACCCCCAACTACCCTTCCCAGCCTCTGGTAACCCTCTTTCTACTCTCCATCTGCATGAGTTCAGTTGTTTTAATTTTTAGCTCCCACAAATAAGTGAGAACATGTGGATTGTCTTTCTGTGCCTTGCTC